CTTAAAAAGAATCTCCTGAAGGAATTCTATGTGCTGTCAAATTTCTTATAATGAAGACAGGAGCAAGACATTCGTAATATTACACTATGAATAAATTCGAAGTGCAGCTCTGTGTGCAATACCATTTACGTGAATAAAGTGCGAAATAAAGTCTACTGTAACTTCTGAACAACTTGTTCTTATTCTGACAAAGGTACACGTGCTACATGTATGATCCTTAGTTATGCCTGTAAAATCGTAACCTCATAGCGATTGCATCTTTCACACCAAATAAAGGCCGTTTAAAGTACGAGTTCACCACAGTGCTACATACTGTGTTCAAAGTGTCAATTCCTTGCGCCTTAAAATGAAAAGTAGGCTGTGCTAAGTATATGAAAACAGAATTTAATGTTGAGATCAAACTATGAATACTGACAACTAATAAACCAAATAAGACAATAGCATTTCGTTAGAAATGTTGAATATACCAGCATGATTTCATGAAGATGAAAAAATAAACCTTTAAATTTTGAACTTGCTGTCTTTTTCAATCCATTACGTCGCGCAGATACTAGCATCAAGCAACATTTTCTCATACAATTTCAGCAAATATACTGCAGTTGAATTAAATTATGCTGCCAATATTCTGTACTTCGAAAAAGGTTTTAACACAAAATGTCAATGGAGTTGAAGATTGAACGATCAATTCTTGGTTGTTTGCTCAAAATCAACTTCCCCAATTTTCGCGGAGGCATCAATACGACAGTCATCGTCTCATCGGTCGCTGTTCAGAAAGAAGAGTGAAACATCGTCAGAAGTAATACAATGATTTATTATTGTAATATTTGTTTTCAGAACTTAGTTCACTTATTCTTTTTATATGTTGGTGTAACAATAAAGAAATATCAAACGGCAGATCGGTGTTTTGGTTTTTTCGTCCGTTATAACTAAGCGTTTCTGAAATCTTCGAAGAACAGCGTGGGCCCGAGCGTAGCGAGAGCTGGGCATTAACGGTTTATGAGACGTGATTGACAGTTTCTGACGATAGAAACAGATCTGGCGGATTCAAACAGTTGGTGAAAGTTTGGATAGTCGCCGTTCATTTTTCCTGGTGCCGGTCAAGTCCTCTTTGAACAAGCAATATCTGGAACTTTTTGGAATTGGGTCAAGTTCAACAATGCCTGGGTCAAAGAAGGGACAGAGTGTCTTGGATGCAAACAGGAAAGTAAGTCATGGTGACTTGTCTGTTAATTGTAACGATGTGTCTGATGTTAAGCATGACATGGTTGATGTTACTGTTTCGCCGTTCAGGGATAATAGGAACATCAAACTCCCTAAATTTGAACCACGGTGTTTTGATGGAAACCCGGCTGATTATTTACAATTTGTAAAGGAGTTTGAGATCATGTTGAGTAGTTTTCTATTAAGTGATGAATTGAAGTTAATGTATTTGATGAGATATTGCACTGGAGATGCTGCAAGAGCTATACAGTGCTGTAAGTTTATGAAGCCAAAAGAGGGCTACGATGAGGCTATGAGCATATTACGTCAAAGGTTTGGAAGACCTTCGATGATTGCAGGGAAATTATTCGAGGCTGTTAAGGGTAATGGTGGTCAATTACAGGATGACTCCCAGGCACTCACTGAGTTTTTAGATAATTTGCTAATTTACAAGAATGGAATGATTTCGATGAATCGCATGAGTGACCTCAACTCGAGTTTTATACTAGAAGTAATAGCAAGACGTCTACCTACTCGACTGCAAAGGAAGTGGGTGAAGATAAGCTCCCGTATGGAGGATGAGGGTATCGAGCCAAAGTTTGATGATATCCTGAAACTGGTAAATACTAGTGTCAATCAATCTATGAGCAAGTTCGCCAGTCTATTAGATCTCACCCCTAGAATAGAGCAGTCTGAGGGTAAAACGCAATCATTGATGACGAATAGGCCTCAGAGAGGTGGATATCGAGAAGGCTCCATGATGTCTAGTAATGCATATAGACCTAGTGAGTGTAACAGGTTTCGTAGTACATCCTCAACAGATAAGTTACAAGATGCAAGACAAACACGGTTGTGTTTGACACGTTTGCAAGAGGTGCATACAGAAGTGAACTGTGAACCAGTGAGCAAGTTCAGTGATAAGCTAAATGTAAACTCCAGGTCTGACTCCGAATTGTGTGACGATAACGGTGCGGTGAAGAAGTCTGTAGTTGCAACTGGTAAGCCATTGTTGAATAGAGTGTCACAGAATAGAGTTACTGCTTCAGAGTGCAGTTCTGACTCCACAAGTTTACAAGGTATTACTAGTCAGAGTGAAGTTATAAAACCTTTAATGATTTGTGAGGAGGAACCAAAATTGTCTACTTCTGTTATTAAAGAGTTTGAAAATGATGAAGTTGACGGTAAATTGAATATTTGTGATAATGATCATGATAGTGCAGATTTGTCTTTGGTTGATCATGATGAAATGGGGGGAATGCCTACTACTGCTAAGTTAAATAAAGGTTCTGTACAACTTGAACGTGAAGTAGAATTAAATGCAGTTGCAGAAGGCATGCATACTTGTCAAACCGTCAGTGTAATTGATCAGAGTGAAGCCCACCTATCATCAGATGCTAGTCCTAAAGCGGAGCTGATAGTAAAAGACAGCAGTGGTGGTGGTCTTGCAGGTAGACAAATTTCTGAAAGTCGAGCAACAACAGCTTTTGATCCACCGCTAAGTTCATCAACTGATATCAATCAGTCGTCGTTGGTGCTGTCATCCACAATGAAACAGACACCCATCAACTCAAGTATCTTGTGCAATGACTATGCTAGTATCAGTTCGTTTGAAAGGACGAATATCAATGGTCAGTTTAGTGAGGATAAGCCAAGTGTAAACGAGAGAGTAATTGTTAAATTGACTTGCACGAATAAAGGCATTTCTAGTTTCAAGTTACTATTTGAATGCTATTATCTTTGGTGTAAATTACTCTGTTTCTACACTTGGTTGATGAGATATGTCGTGTGTTTGTTGGTCATCTATATTCTACGATACAATGACATGGGCGTGTTGCCGTTCAGATTTGAGGATATAGCTGATAGAAGGAAGTTAGCAAATGAACTCTGCGACGATTTTCCAACCTAGGGCGTCAACCTGAGAAGGGTTGTAGGCGTACTGCTGTAAGTCCTACAATTCTTCAAAGGGTAGCGCATCAATGAGCAGTCCAATGTGCTTGGTGTGTGATTTTGTACATATGTTCATATTGTATATACTGAATTGATATCATCTGTCATCTAGCTGTTGGTAATTCTGTTTGTGTCCGGACGACTTCCACTTGGATCATCAACCTGAGAAGGAATGTAGGCGTACTGCTGTAAGTCCTACAGTTCTTCAAGGGTAGTTTGTCGTGCCAGAATCCACAACATTTGATGTGTTGATTGTACATATGTTTGTGTTAAATAATTGTGTGAGTTCCAATTGATGTAATTGTTGGTTAATCTTGTTTGTGTCCGGACATTCCACAAATTACAATCGTCAACCTGAGAAGGGTTGTAGGCGTACTGGTGTAAGTCCTGCAATTCTTCAAAGGAATTCCACCAAGACATGATCGGCGAGGTTGTTTGTACTATTTGTATATACGTGTGGTGTGTCATATCAATTGGTGTTTTTGGATTCATTGTGTTTACTTGTTGTTTTCGTGTCTTGTTGTTATTGCGTAATTTTGTTAAAATTTTCGTCGTGATTATTTCTGAAGTTGTTTCGAGTCTTCTACATCCATGAATGAATTGATTGATGTTAAGGACAGCAGATGGGTCGTATACGCCGGGGAGGCTAGGCTATTGCTGAGAATGAAATGCACACGGAGATAATTGTTAGCTGCGGTCCGACACGCCGGGGAGAAAGAGTGTAAACGACTGAGGCTTGCATGCGTCACCGCTACTAGAACTGAGGCAGAATGAGTGACAAGCGATTTCAGTGGTAATTGGTAGTGAGTAGATAAGAGGATGTGCGTAGAGTATCGTGAGGTGGTGCTATGGTCACTTTGCATTCTGCAAGAGTCATTCTAGCAAGTGGCGATTGTGTTGCAAGATGTCAAGAGGAGGTCTCTGTCTGGAGGCGCAGGTCGTCATTGATGTGTGAGATTGTGCTGTGGGTATGCTTGTGGTGTGTTGGCTTTTCTGTTTGTTTTCCATTTCAGCTCTGTCCGTGTGACCCAGGTTCTCGCAATGGCATCCAAGTCAACGTGCATTGGTCGTGAAGGAAAAAAGGGTTGGATCCCTTTTTTGCCGGGGAGTGTCAATGGAGTTGAAGATTGAACGATCAATTCTTGGTTGTTTGCTCAAAATCAACTTCCCCAATTTTCGCGGAGGCATCAATACGACAGTCATCGTCTCATCGGTCGCTGTTCAGAAAGAAGAGTGAAACATCGTCAGAAGTAATACAATGATTTATTATTGTAATATTTGTTTTCAGAACTTAGTTCACTTATTCTTTTTATATGTTGGTGTAACAATAAAGAAATATCAAGCGGCAGATCGGTGTTTTGGTTTTTTCGTCCGTTATAACTAAGCGTTTCTGAAATCTTCAAGGAACAGCGTGGGCCCGAGCGTAGCGAGAGCTGGGCATTAACGGTTTATGAGACGTGATTGACACAAAATTTCATTTAAAAAGCATATAGAAAATATAACTTGCCATATAACCAACTTAGCAACACATCGCAACACTACAATTAGTGGGATATGCAAAAAAGCCATCTGAAGACGGCATACCGCACTCTCCCCATGTGTATAATCTGAAACCCTTCCTTACCATTGCCCACTTCTCCTTGTCTAGCTCTTCTGACTACTTTGCCTATTAATTCGCCTGGTTCTAAGTTAAAAAACAGTTTTTGAAGATGAATGGAGTAACAAACCACACAGAAGATCATTGCAGCTCAGGAGACTTTTCACTAACTATCGAGAATCAAACAAAGAAACCCAGTATGGTTTATGCTAGATCTTATGGATGATATTGAATATCGAACTACTCATTATTAGTCAACCAGTGCATTTTTCGGTTCAAGGTCAATGGATGAGGATGAGGAGGTTTTCTCAGCTCTTGAGACCCAGCTAGATGTAGGATTTTCGGGATGGTTTCATTTTTTAGAACATATTCATGGTTTTGTCTTCTACAGGCTCCAGCGACTCTGGATTATCGGAATCACAGCATGGCCTTAATGATAAACATATGGCATCGTTTCTAGATGCTTGCCGGAAAATGGATTCCTGGTTTATTAAAAAGCGCCTGGCATTATCAACCTATTGCCAGGATTACGCACTGAAAGAGGTACCATTTTTATACTACTAATCTTGGTGAAGGAAATAGATGCACTGAATGCAGAGTGCGCAAGAAAGGAAAAGCTCGCTCAGGAGTTAAAAATGCGAATAGAAGATTATTCCAAGTCAATCGAAGTCATTGTAGACCAAGTAAGTTCTTACTTTCTCACCGTCCAATTTTCAGTTCACAAAAGATATGCCCTTTCTCGACTGAAAATGGATATTCTGCAATATACGTTTGAAGCAAATAATTGTATTGTGTAAAAATTTACAGCGGCCACTTTTTTATTTTATGTACATAATATACACGTGAGATTTTACTATAATGTTCTTACTATTCGGAAAGGTGTATTTGTTTTTTGTAACACTGTAGTGAGTTGTCTATCCTTTTTCATGTATGAACGGTTTCCTATGTTTTCATCAGCGATGTGAATTGACTCTCGTCTCATTGTCTGGGAGGTTTAGCACATCTTTGCATTTGGTCTGTGGTTGTGCTCTGGGAACAAAGGAGTTTGATGCCGATTTATTTTGTCGTTCCCGTGCATCAGCTAATGTAAGAATTGTCTTGAGGAATTGGTAGAGCAAATACATTGGATAGTGGACCACATAAGCCGTAAAGCAACAGTACAAATGGAAGGGTTTCGTGCTTTGCATTCGTCTTGACATTAAGAGGAAAGAGATGGAATTGCAGGGTGTTCATTATTCGTAAGTAGTGTCTCATCCCTATCTATTGTCACATTGTTTCGAACCTTTATTAGAGCGTGGGGCTACACTAACCTGACGAGTCCCTGCTTCATCCAGCGACGCAGTTTTGCATTGTGCTTGTCCAGACTATCGAACGCATTTTACGGATATAACCACTGCTATGTTATTTCATTGTAAATAACAGTGCGATTTCATATTACTGTTACTTTTCCCTCACACTTCTGTTTATTGTTCCTCTTTACTTTCTTCTGCTTTGTGTGCTACATGGTGAGTGGCAGCTCGAACTGCTTCGCATATGTGCAAGGTCCCATGCTGAAACCAGTCAGTTATTCAGTCATAGAGGGTGGGATGTATTCTTCCTTGCGAAATATCATGCAGCCATACTTTCTTAGCCTTTTTTACTGCCGTCACACAGTGTGGGGGTGTTCCTGTTGTTATTTGAGGGCAGATAACCGGCTTTGTAGCTATGGAACACTCATCTAGAGTAATTGGACAACCCCCGGTCTCAAACTAATATGGTACATAGCCCACGGTATCCAAATCGAATAAATGGTGTGCGAACTAGGTTCGGTTACCAACAAGAAATTGGACGCAGTCCATATCGTCGCTGTATTGTATTGCAGTTAGACCTTAAAACCAGGGGTTGATGAAGTGTACCGGGAAATATTTCGATCCTCGGTGAAAGTGTGAATTAACAGTAGATGTAAGACAACTTGATTTTCTTCCACATTCTATCAGTAATTACGTTATTGCTACTTTGATATTTCCTATCGAATATATCAAGTTTTACTGTATTATGTCTGGAATAGTGTACGCAGTTTCGGCGATTTTACGTTACATAATATTTCATGAGCATACTTTGGGTGAAAATCATGGAGAAAGCAAACTAATCTTGCTAAAGTGAGAAAACATTGGCTGCAAATCTGTGTTGTCAATATATTTCTTGGCGAATGAATTCCATGATCACTTCTCAGCTTTGACCACATTTAAACACAAATAACAGCCTGCAGTTTTTTAAGACTCTGTATGTATGAACCAGCGGTTTTTACCCTTGTGTATGAAGAAACAAAAGAGAATTTCGTTGTGACATTCGTTTTCCTTCATGTATAATGGCAATAGTGATGTAGAAAAGGTAGAAAAATCCAATAGAGTATGCACCCTTATTATATCCACACATTCGGCCTATAAATTATTGGATGGAGACAAAATGGTGCTTTCTGTAGCTTTACGTTAATGTTCTTCTTAGTGACCTGTGTGTTCATATTTAGTTGGTGTGGTGTGTCTTCTTGAGTACGGAGGCACTAGTGAGTTTTCCTCTAGGTGTTGGCTTATATGTGACCTGTCTTCACAAAATGCTTTTAGGTGAGTATTCTTGGATGGATCATCTTATCTACCTCTGTTCATCTACTGATTGGAGAGTTATAAAGAGGGAGCTGTGCCCAAATGGTTAAGTTTCTCGAAAATCCAAACAGTGGACAGATTGGTATCAAAAGACCATTCGGATTAAAAGCTCTATGAATTAGGCATACTTGGGTTCCTTAGTAAATGGTTGTGCAGTGATTCATGTAGCAACCCCCCTATGGCCTAGGCGTTGAATTTATGCACCGATATGAGTGCGTCTCGTTTGCGGTCAGAAAGAGACCTTCCTTCAGAAATAAGAACTGCTATTGGGTAGCACAGAATGTCTGCACAAGCTTTAAGCACTACTGGGTGATTGCCATCAAGTTCCCAGAGATGCATTAAGGCATGTGGCTATTTTATTTTCTATTCTTGAAGACTAAAACAGACTAATATATTCATATTCAAAAGTGTTTCCTCAGCTTGGGAGAAGTTATTTTTAATATTGTAGTAAATTGCTAGGATGTAGTGTGAGAAGTGAAAATTATTGATTTTTCCCACTACCGGAAAGACATTCATTATTTTCATTTAGTTCCCCATGCAAACCTGTGTAACGGTGTAGCCAATTTTTGTGGCGGATTGGTTAGCGGCATATTTCTAACCAGCACCTTTGGAAGTATTATCTAGGCAGTTCACTGACTGAAACATGAAACCCTTAAACCTTATATCGGTAGTAATGATAACATAAATAAAAGAGAATATAAGGCATCTGCTGTTATATCATATAAGGAGGGGACATCTGAGACCCTACGTAGAATTCTCAGTAAAGTAGGAATTAGAGTTGCATTCAAACCTACAAACTCACTCAGAAACAAGCTTTGTAGGCTGAAAGATGCGGTGGATTCAATTAGGCAAAATAATATACTTTACAAAATACCTTGCAATCACTGTGAGTTAAGTCAACTAAATAGGTCAGACTAGCATATCAGGAGTGGTGAGATTATCAGAACATTGGGAATTTATCTAAGCTTAGAATGATCCCACAGTGATAAGTAATTTAGGAAAATGCTAAGTGATTGCACTGCATGCATTAACACACAGCCACACAATAGCTTGACAGAGGGTTAAAATTCTAAGAAGTAATCTATGTAGGTGGAGAGATAGATTGATTACTGAATCCTGACTGGTTCATTGAGTCTACACCCAACGCAACACATACAACAGAAATGACTCCATGCAAATACCTTATTTCGGTCTTTACTTATGTTGTTCTAGGGTAGAGTAAAAACAAACTAACTGGTGGTTGGTTTTTGGTGTTTCATTAAAGTGGATGTGAGAATTTGAAATAAATTATGAGCAAACTAGGAAGATCTATGATGGGTTTTATTTATTTATTTTTTGCAGCGATATCGATTAGTTAGCCTTTTCTCATTCACTCATCTTCGAAGATTGTTTCAAACAATCAGCGGAGTTTTGGATCTGCAGGACAGTATCAGTTCCAGTCATCATACAGGATCAAGGTCATATTGTAACAACGAACGATAAGGGCCAGGCAACAGATCGTCTATTTAGGAAATCAGCAGATACTTGTAGATTTTCATGTACATCATTATGGATCGTTTTAAGCAAACAAACACAGTCTTCTGATTGGTGGTTTCTCGTTGAATGTTAATCTTTCATCTCTTTGTGGCCGTTTCTTGAAGTTCCGATTATCTGTCTGCAAATTGTATCCGCCTGCGCAAAGTCTGCTGTGGTTGGTTGTTGAGTCAGTCTTTGTTCTTATTTTTCTCACGAGCAATATTGGGGACGTAAACATTGGCGTAAATTACTGTCTACCGATTCGGCTAGCAGCCGGCTATCACCACAATATAATGAACTGAGCTAGTAATTGTCTTACATTATACCTTTGCTAACCACACCGGGTAATGTTCAGAGATGCGTTTGGAAAGCGTGCGCCAAGTTGTGCGGCCAATATAACTAGCTCTACACGAGCAGGTGAATTTATAAACACACATTGAGGTGGCCCAAAGCGGCAGTTTATTCTTCACACATGCATTGATTATTTGTCGGCTGTAGAAATTGATACGTAGCTCAGCCGTAAAGAAGGCTTTCCTCAGTGATCTGCATAGGCGATTCTTCAGGATCTCAGCTGCGGTATCACCTTTAAATTCAACACTCATAAATAGGAGAAAGAATCCAGACGGTGCCGAAGAAACTACCGCGTAATTTACAACTTTGAATAAAAAAAAGTCATCACATAACCACACAGGGAGACATTAAAGTTTTCAACAATTAAACAAAAACAGGGACAAATAATGAGGATCAAGTCGACATATGGTGCCCAAATGTCAGCACTATGATACACAGTCTAGGAGAATAATTAATAAGTTATGTGAGACATTCAAATAAATATCAGTATTGTAGTGACAAGTGTTCAGGAGGCATTTTCTAAACAATTATGATTCCTTTTTAATTGAATTTGAGATTGTCCCGTCAACTGATTGGACTGAGGTGCTCGGTCTCAGGTTGACGTGTTGACTTCTTGTGCAGATGCTTCGATGATGTCTGGGAATTTAATTAGTATTTAATTGGTGGATGGTGACTAGCAGTGGAATCCAGGATGCGCATTTTACCTGTCCTATTTGGGACTCGTCACTGAATGTACCTGCATTTCTCAGTGAGTGATGATGTCTCCACCGAAGCTCGAACAAGAGGTGGCTCTCGTGACCCAAATGGTCTAGTGGATAACGCTTTGGCATATGAAACTATGGCCACTGGGTTCGAGCCTCGGTGGGAACATCATCACTCACTGCTTGGGGAATGCGGGTACATCTGGTTAGCTGACGAGTCCCAAATAGGACAGGCAAAATGCGCATCCTGGCTGGATTCCACTGCTAGTCACCATCCACCAATTAAATTACGATTCCGTTACATTTAACTCTATTCGATACCTGTCTAACATGAAATCTTTTTTATTCTGTCTTAATGATGATTATCACATTTTCAGATTATCTAAAAATTGTTATTCATATAATAAAATTTAAGGAAATCCTATCCTTCATGTCACCATCATTTAAAATAATACTCTTAATTAGTATCATTTATGAAACAGTCAACACTTGAGTCTAATATTCTAATATATTAGGTTACATAGGCTTATATGCTTCAATAAACACACTACCATGCTATCCTTAGTGTGTTTATATATACACTCAAGAATAGAATGAGTTGTCGTCTCATTCCATTTATTATCCTATGGTTTTTTTTAGAATAATATTATTATTTACTAGTTATGAAATAAGTAATCAAAGGAAATCACGCGAAAAAAACACTAGGGGAAGTAATCTAATGTCTACATCATAAACAAACAAACAAACAGGAACTTATATCAGTGAATTGTTGTTATTGAGTAATTTCTTAATGATTATTTTGTCGTTTATGCACTACTTCAGTGAAACCTTCTGTTTAACTGATCCAACAATTTACAATATACAGACACGAATAGTAATTTATCTTTGGTTTTTCTTATAATTTTTCAAACATTTTGATTCAGATTCGTACGAGAAGAGGGGTGTGTGTGTGGGTGGGTGGGTGGATAAAACAACAGTTAGATGTCATGAAAAGCTGAGTGTTCTTGTGTTTATTAAGCATGATGTATATATTTATACATACCGGTTAAATTATTTTCAATAAGGGAAATAATTTTACATGTAGAGTATTAGTGTTTTTATTTTGTACTTATGGTTTATTGTAAACTATTTTTCTGGTAGTATCAAAACAAGATATTATTTATTTGATTGATATATTTGATTGTTATTATTATCATTATTATTTGAGACATAAAGTTATCATCGATGATATGTAAACCCAATGAATATTCCAGGCTTTAAATAATTAAGTAAATTTATCATGATGGATGGAGTATTAGACAACCTCGATTATATGTTTATGGATTAGAACTTTATTCATATGCCATATGGATGGCGAAGGATATTTCTTTCTGGCAACTGGCCACAGGAAGCTTTGCTTGACCTAGGTCTCCTGCCTGTTGGTACTTGTCAGCCGACCGATAGATAGCTGCTACTTTGACGTGGTGGTCGCCGGGCTTGCACATCGCAATGACCCAACAAGCTGCTGCACTGGCTTGAACCAATGTTTCTGCAGGTCCTACCATGTCAGGAAGGTTGTTAAGATAGCGATTAGACTAAAAGCAGTTACCGACAGGCACTGTGTAAGAATCTTTTTTACACTATGCTGGGGTCTTTACTGCTGGGGAACAGGGGTGTAACAGCTGCAGTAAGGTGTTTCCCTCAGATAACCAGCATGCTCGCCAGCTACGCTGTCCCTCCACTTTGAAGAGAGGGGAGGGGGTTAGAAAAGGTCGACTCCAAAAATTGTACATCCCGACTTACCCTACCTACGGTGGTCCGTAACCGGCGGTAAGTTTACTAATACACAACCAAACCAAGTAACCAGTTCATACAGGCCGTGTGTGACCGGCCGGCGTTAAGCAGCTGTCCCCTGGGCTCTGTGGTCACGCAACACTAACCCTCTTTCTATTTTAGGTACCCGAAGAATCAATCAACTTTCACGGTGTGGGCAGCCGGGAAGTAACAACCGCCCACACTTCCTGAGCATCATTCTCCACTGGTACTCGTCAGCAAGCACGAAACCTAAGCCAAGAAAGCCTTTATGTGGCTGATGGCATCCAACCATCTATTAACAACAACAATCCTGAGTTGTAGCAGAGGGTGGCGAGTCACCTAGTAGCATGGTTTAGCCACATTGCAAACTTGACTGACTGATAGGATTCAGTCTGAGGTAAACAAGAGAACTAGATGCATGATACTAGTTAGTGTTCAATGAAAGGTAGGTAGTATTATGGTGAGAAGACTGTGTTTTTCTGCTAACAATAATCTATAATAATGTACATGAGAATCTATAAATATGTGTTGATTTCGTAAATAAACGATCTGTTGCCTAGCCCTTGTCTTCTGTTCTCGTTATATTTGGTGTCGCTGCCGACCGATAAATGGAAAGCCTATGCCCTGTAGTTTTTGATGGAGACATATGGATCTTCAGGCAGGACTTCGAGGGTTCTGGGAAGTGGAGTGGCGTTCAAGATCTGTCAGCGATGAGGCTGTTACTTGGGACGCTGCTGGGAAGTCGGGAGAAAGCAGCATATAAAAGTGTGAGGCGAAATACCGACGAATGTGCGACAGGGTTAGGCAAATAGTTTCCGAAGTGGGAAGGACCACATATGGTCACGTTGAGATGGTTACGCAGACACAATCACAAGGGTAAACAAAGAGGAACAGGTGAAAATCAGCGAGTTCCGAGATTCCAGTCAGCAGCACAAACGGGTAAAGCCCCTAGAACCAAGAAGACCGAACTAACTTCAGCTGCAAGTTTTTGACGGAGGGACGAGTGTGGTGAGAGCTGGTTGTTAATCAAAATTGGTGGACAGTAATTTACGTAAACGTTTTTGTCCCCAATATTGGTCGTGAGAAAAATAAGAAGAAAGACTGACTCAACAACCAACCACAGTAGACTTTGCGTAGTCGGATGCAGTTACCATATAGATCATCTGACATTCAAGAAGCAACCACAAAGAGATGAAAGATTAACTTTCTGTGAGAAACGACCAATCAGAAGACTGTGTTTTTCTGCTACCAATAATCTATAATAATGTACATGAAAAATGTATTAATATATGTTGATTTCCTTAATAAACGATCTGTTCCCTGGCCCTTGTCTTCTGTTGTTACAATATTATCTGGAAATAGTTTGACAGATAATGAGTAGCAGTGAAATTCACCAGGATGAGCATTTTTATTCTATTTCCGACTTGCCAGATGGATTTACCTACCTACATTCCCCAGTGAGTGATGGTGTTCTCATTGAAATTTGAACCCCAGTTATTCATCGTTTCAAATGTTAAAGCGTTATCTCCGCTGGACCATCTGTGTTATGAAATCCACTTATTTTGCCATGGGCATCAGTGTTATTATTTGTTTTTAATTCAATATCTGAGTTCAATCAATATCGACAGGAAAATCGAAATTGAATTATAAATAAATAAATAATAGGAGAATATTATCTGTTGAGGTATATAAACTGAATTCAACAAGATTTATTATCTTTTGTTCCGGGTAACTGTTTATTTTTAATAATAATTATAATAATTTGCTTTATTCCAAAACAGTACTTGTGATACAGAATGGAATTTCACAGCATTTCACTACAGTATTGGATCCAGTTTGTACATTAACAATAAATAAAATTCTGCATAGATTAAGGTTATATCAGTTAATTTTGACAACAACATATTGGCATGTCGGTAGCATAGTCAAAATTGAACAGAATGTTTGGAGGTGTTAGAAAAGTAGATGCTAACATATTTACTGGCGTAAGCGGTAACAAAGAGGTCGAGATATACAGAGTGTGAGAGAACGAAGAAGAATGTTTTAAGTAGAGTTTGTAAGGAAGAGAGAAACAAAACAGCACATAACAAAAAAATCAGATAGAGAGAAAAGGAAAAGTAAGAAAGAAAACGTTGTACCTATAAATCATATGAGTTGGAAAGACGAGATCCAGTTGTTAAACTGACTATTTATTAAGTTACAAGTATCACGCCTAAAGCTTTCTTTATCTCACAGAGCACGAGCTAAGTAGGG